AACATTTTCTTTTACAATTAGATGTCGTGTGTCATTGCTCAGAGCATTCGCAAATTGAGAGTAAATGCCCACCAGGATCCTTGTGGTCAAAGAGGATATCTGTAGTTATCAAAACGAACTGAGCAACAACGTGCATATTCCAAGTATAGAGGTATAAAATCTTCAATTACTAAGTTCTGATTAAAAAGTCATCAACATTGGAAAAGCTGAAAATTTGTCCTGACACTAAACGAAGTCTGAGAAATCCTGCTTTACAATGTTACTGTCTATCGTTTGAAACTTTACAATGGAATTTAGCTAGCGAGTAGATACCGTATTTTACTTGAAATCTGTGAGGTTCATTTCGTGTTAAGGCTAGAACATCTTCCAGATTCATGTCCAGCATGAACCAATTACCCAAGCCCGTCACACTCAGTACAGCCGACATGTACAAAGTGCATGCACCTATAGTGTTACTGTTCCCTAGAGCAAAATCACGTGGGAGGAGGCGGAGGTGCTGATTCATGAAGAAATCAGGTACGTGAAGGGAACTTGGGGGAAGCAAACACGGGCCAGCAATTATTCGCCAACGTGAGACGCAGCAGCCGGTCCCAAATGTCTATCCTGGACCCACAATCCTGGACAAAATTGTTGGGACACGTGTCAATAGCCATACCCGTTGCAGGTTCCCCACTCCCCCTGTCAATGTTGTCATCTCCAGCTGGAGCGCAGATCGTGCTTTGAGACCCAACATTGTGAGGGGGCCAGGGATGGGGGGGGGCCCAACGAGTGTTGGCCAGGATTGCAGCTCAGCAGAAAATGATTGTTTAAAGCTAAAATAAAGTTGACCAAACAACCTCTGGGAACCAGAGCGAATGTTTGCTGTGATTAGAAAATTTCTGCAATAATCAGCTGCTCAACGAAATTGGTCCCTGCATGCGTTCTGTGCAATCTAACACGACGCTGGATGAAAACAGCTGCTAGTAGGCCTATAGACAGCTGGCAAGTTCTGCGATTTCCCGTCGGCATGACTCGTCTGGCAACTGATCTCCTTTCTTTATTTGGACCCAGTGGCTACAAGCATAATTAAGGGGTTATATCTTGAGGTCACCGTAATCTATGATTCATTGTAAATTTTAATAAGTGTTATGTTTGTCATCAACTAGTAATATGTCAGTAGGTTGAATAGCACAAGTTATTACTTATTCCAAAGTCAATATGGTGCAGTGTCCACCAATTTCAGCAAGAAAACAGATCATTTGAACAAAATGGGACGGACTTTGGAAACCCAGCTGTAACTATTAGCAGTTTGAACGGAGGTCCCGAATTTTCGCAAAATCTCCGACGTGGATCAGAGATCAACTTAAACGTTACAAAACTATTCTGAAAGTTTGCTGCAGTCGCCCCTTAAGCTATCCCCTATCAGCATCTTCTAAACCACCCAGAAATCAGCCATTACTGGCATATACACAAAGGTAGGGAGCTTTGTCTAAGACGGAACCTTTCGTCGCGGGTTTCTATGATGTGTAATTCGTGATTAAGAAGTGATCTGAAAAACATCTATATTTAAATAAGGAACACATATTCGACTTCTTCCATTAAAGGCAAAGGGACTTTCAAAGGCAATGTGCGTTAACATAACAAGGTGCCGACAACAAAACACAAGACGTGCTATGCCCTCCGAGATTCTGTATACTTATATTATATCAATGTTAATATTATACCAATGTTTTCACAAAGTGACGGACCGCAATTACTAAACCTAACAGTCCTTAATCTTTCACCTGTTTGAAGATTAAAGGCACTTGGGGTTGGTGTTGGAATGCACTTATGCCAAAGCTTTCCAGCATTAGAATATGCAACATATAACAAAATGTATCATGAAGCTTTCTTACAGAACACGCCAAAGATCGTCTAAGGAGACAAGATCTAGCGCGAGTCAACGCGCACATCCAGAACGACCACACGTCAGTATTCAACATCAGCACGTTCAAGGCGGTGTTACCAGGGATGCCGTTAGTTTCAACAATCATAAGCGTCCTTGAGCACGATTTTTGCCTGCCCTAAATAACTGCAACAATGTCATGGAAATTTCTTGTTCAATTTCCCACACAATCGTGCAAATAATTATACACATAACTCAGTTGAAACCGTGGCAGCATATTGTATGTAAAGATATTGTCTGACCCCGGATCCGCAGGTTCATCTCCACAACAGATTTGATCGAAAAATCGATCACGGGAAGTTGCCGGAAGCAGCATTGGACTGTCCCGGCTAATCTGGCCGCACCACAAGAATGAACCGAGGGAGCTTTATGAACACAAGAGTCCAGACAGATTGATAAACGGTCATTTCCGCAAGGCACTAGAGGACGCTGGCAAGTCGAGAGGACGCACATACTAGCAAGGACACTCCTCTGTTTCGAAGTGCCTGTTATGGCCAACAGACGGGCAGTTTACACTACCGGTATTTATTCGTATTGGAAATGGTGTATATATATTTTATGTACATGTTATTGTTAAGCAGAGCCATTAGAGAGGCAATTACACGGGTGAGCAAGTATCTGCAGTGGAAATTATGATGTCTCCATATTTTACGCGAAAGTGTACTTGGAGAAGCAGTCTGGGATGTAATAAAAATTGGCTAGCTACGAGTGCTTCCACTTCTGGAGAAAAAGCACGCAGAGTACACCCACTCCTCGTACCCGACTCAGCGCAGAAAACATTAAAAGGAGGTAGAAGGATTAACATTCAGATGGAGTTTTGTAACTTGCACAGTATTTAGACCTGGGCTCCACATTGTCCCTTCCGGTGAACATTTTCTGGTAAGCCGAGTCTGTCTGGGCCTTGCTGTCAGCCGAGCAGCTGGGCAACTCAATGAAAAAGATATCACAGCAGCGGATCTATTGTAATGCAAAAATCACATCCAGAGAGATTCTTCCCTTCCGGTTGCTTTCCGTTTTCCCCCTTAAGTCTTGCGTCTTAAGAAGGTCTAGACTTTTTAAACTCGACATGGCACAGATTTACATCTTTAAAGCCTAAGATGGCGAAGATGTTTCATCGAGAATGTCTGTAGACTGCTTTGCACGGCACTCAACTGTTACTGAGACTTAGCACAATGAAACGATCAGTACGCCGAGATCATTACTAGAACTGAAGCCAACAAGTCGAGTGTCAAGAATAAAATTATTGTTGCAGTTGGATAAACGACACAGTATGCTGCAGTGTAACCAACCGATCTTTGGTCAATATCAGCATGGTATCGGCAACAGCACATAATCAATAAAGATACCTATGCAGCATGGGCGTAGATTCCGGGAAGATAGAGGTATATACCCCCGTCCCCTTTTGACCTGGGAGGATTGGTTATTGAATCATTACCCACTTTTTCGTGGTGAGGACAAATGACGGCGGATTGTAAAGACTTTTGCGAACTTCCCAACAACCAAAATGTATTCAATAGCACTCGAAACGGAGAACGGTCTTAAAAAGCCATAAATATGCAGCTTTGATATAAGATTCTGTAGGAATGCAATACTTATTACAGACGTACTTCTGTATCATGAACATCGCCCGCTAGTGTCATATGATGTCAGCACCCCCCCTCCATTTCTATGGCCAGGCATGTCCCCACAATACTCCCATCCCCCTAGTTCTCGGCACAAATTTTCGCCACTGCTATGCAGCTGCAGCAAAGTTCAACAACATTTTTTGCAGCTTATTTGCATCATAACATCTATAAAACAACCACCCAGCGACCTCAACTCGACAACACACAGGCTCTGTGTCTCCCTTGCCATTTTCTGACCTCCGGGTTTCCGGACACTTTGACTCAACACTTCATTCCCCCAAAACCAAGTCAGGCCTAACACTGATGATTATTCGAGCACAAATTTGAGAATCCGACTGTTAATTGGAATGACATTCAGAAACAGACAGTCGGTACAGGGCAACATTCAAATAAAAAACCTGCACTAACCAAAACATCCACGCCATCGAGTCAATGAACCTTTGAATCTTCATGAACGCTTGAGGATGCATTCAGATTATATTCCTTGACAATCCTTTGGCCTATACATTCTAAACGGTGCTTCTCAAAGACTCTGCTTCCAGGTCAATTTTAATAGCATTTTTAAAGTTTCTCTCTGAATGCAAAGATGTTGATTTCATCTCAAAAGCAGACATTTACATTTCATTTAGAACTACAAATGATGGTTGGCGTAACATCGTGGATGTTACAGTCCATACAACAACCGGAATTTCGATGCAGTTGCGTAAATACGCATATTGACGATATAAATACACTTTCTGCAGTATAAATGCACTGATGTAGTTGTTTAACAGAGTCGTATCGCATTTTCCTTGTAGTAAAACCTTTTTAGCAACATCGAAGCACTGAATGGCATCATTATCAGCTGCGCTGACGTGTGTTCTTTTCCTCCATGCTTAGCTATCATCTCATGTCAGTTCGAGTGGATTACTCTCAGTCTGCACCCCACTCGTGCCTTGTGATGATAATAACATTACACACTGTATTCAAGCTGGAAGCAGTGGGATACTTAACATGTAGATTTACAGGTAGCACTGCGCGCATCCCTCGAGCTATCCACTTAGGTGACATGCACAAAACAGTTGGGGTAGAGCTAACTCACAAGTCACATTTTCGGCATTTTTAAAGAAACAATTCAACCTTAGATTTTTTCCACGGGCAAGCACAAACACAGACGTTGACCAAGCAACAACAGGTAACAGATATGTAATAAAATTGTTCTTTCTACGACAATGTGTGCCAAAAACAGCCTTTGAAGCCACTGCACGCAAAATGACTCTGAATATGACATAAACACACAAAGGACTGTTTATAGCACGACCTACATATCACATGCCTATTCAAAAGTTTGCAGGGTCCTGGAAAAGCAAGACTGTTTTAATGGCTGAAACATCCTCGGTCAATCTTTACACCGCTACACGTCGTATGAATGGCAATGCAAGTACAAATAAAAGTGAAGAACAATAACTTACCAATGAAAGCGAGCACCAATGTCACTATTCCTATAGTACAACCCATACCTGACAGCGCGTGTGTGTCACAAGTCGGCTTAAAGACAGGTACATGTGCTTTCTAATGGAGGGAGAGGCCCAACTTAACCTTATGATGTCGGCCCAGCAATGAAACATCCGCTGAGCGGAGACTTCCACTCACTGTAGCAAACTTTCCAATGCAGCGTCACAGCGCGCTTCCCGCCAGTGGGTAACTCTGTTCTTTTTTTATCAAGTCATTTGCATAATGTTATGCAGCGAGCAGTGGCCACTGTCTGTGAAGATATGCAGACACCTCGTGCGCCGTTGCTCATTGGTCCATTTGGGCTCGTTGGGCTAAGTAATTAGCTAGGCTGATTGAGAACAACTCAAATGCGTCTCTGTTTGCCTGCAATTAGTCAAGAATGATGTCAACGGGGTAAACCTAGTACAGAACCCCTACTTTGACTAGGGAAAAAGGCCGGTATCGAGTTTGTTCTTTGTGAAGTCTTTGTTGCTCGCTGTCTTGAGGATGTAAGTTTAGTTAGGGAAATATCGTGACCTTCAGGACCTTTGAAAAAAAGATTGGTCAGTCCTTTCTTCTGTGGTCAGAGACTTGATTGGAAAAGTGAGCGGACAATGAGATGTGGTTTTTTTTTCAATAAATAAGCTTCCGGAAGGATGCTAACTTGACCTGGTGAACACGGATGTCCGCCGATGGCATCTTAGAGACCTTGAGCCACACGTTGCTTATCTACCGGTGAAACCATTTCCCCAGAATGACCCCCGTACAGTGATTACATAAATTTAATTTCCATGCTCCCCTCCACTATACTATACACACATCGAGACTTTTCAACAGTTTTACTCAATCAACTATTGCCTGCCCTTTAAACGCATTATGCAAACTTTCCAAACATTGTTCATTGGCACAGTTAGATTTCCTGAAATTGAAAGACACACATGTAGTAAAGGTGAGGCAGCAGTTTGTATTTTCCTTTCAGCGAAAGATAAATTTACACAGGTACGTTTTTATAAGTCTACCTCACGAGCGAAAAGGTACTGTTTCTCTACATCAAGGTTACATGTAAGCCTATGCGAATGTAACAAAAAATCATTACTGCATACTGTATATGGAGGTGCACATCTGGTTTATTTTTTTTTTAAGTTATAAAAAAGCCGGCTCATCAATATCGTATAAGTTTATAGCTTTAAGTTGAAAGGGAGATGTTTCGATCTAGGCAATATCTTCCTTCAAAGCAGGAATAAAAGCTCAGGCCGTGCTCAGAATGATAATTTGAAGTACTTTGTGACAGGTGGGCACTTTGCATCATTAGCACAGGTGCTGGTGACTGTTGCAACTCGGCCAAAAAATCTCAACGAGTGATGACAAGTTTGAAAGGGGGTGGTTGCGACTACAATGTTACGCACAGACGCCAACGGAGAAAAAACGTTTCTCCTTAGATTGAAGACCGACAGAAGTTCGACAAGTGGGGGCGGGGGGCTGAATACCAGTTAACCCACAGAGCTAGCGAGAAAGAGATTGACACCTGTGGGGCTTGTTTTTACAGACAAATACCCGATTTTGACGCAAGGCACGATGAATGGCGGTGCAAAACTCAAAATAGAATCCGAAGATTGTACATCTCTGCAACTTGATTAGGGGCGAATATACAAGTTTCTGGATCTAGCTGATATAACGTAAACCCGAGCGGGTAGTACAGATCAGTAGAAATGAACAACAGAACAGTTCTACAGTGAACCATTACAGGAAATTGTGATATAGATAAATGGGGGGGGGTATTAGGAATAACCTGTTCGTCCTTTTCCACATTTACCTTGTTAAGCAATTACCCGAACCCATCGGCCACTTTACCGGATACAGGAAAACCGTTAGCCACAGTCACTTCGGATGTGTGAAGCTATTTGGGTTTACAACCCGTGCCAGAAGAACAATAGTTTGTCAGTGGGTTGACGTGATTAACAAGAAATCTGTTAGCCGGTCATAATTGCGGTGATAGCGGAAGGTCATCCGAAATGGCAGTGAACCCGGTTAATGCTCCGTCTTTAGGCCACCGTGACCTTTGTGACAACCGATGCTGCTCAAGATAAGGTGAAAAACATGACTTTTTACTTCATACAGACGGCTGAAGGATTGACAAAATTGGAACGGACGACCTTTAAAGATCTCAGAAAAATAAAATTGTGAAGGCATCCACGTCTCTTAATGCACGCATGCTTAGGCCGTCGCCAGCAAACCTAGCTCTAGAACTTATCAATGTCTGAGCTACCCACCGGGGGTAGTTTTGAGGTGCAAACTCAAGTGCTGAAATGAGACTGATGAATCAGAATAAATACTTGATTGCATATCCGGTGTCCGACTCATACTTGGGGGGGGTATTTATGGTGCCTCGTCGTCCAATACTGGAGGATGGAACTACCACCCCATCACCACGGGGCGGCCTAGAAATCCACTTCCGGTCACACTAAGTTTCAAAAAGATTGAGCATTTGACAGCCGAATGCTTGGGGGACGGAATCCCCCCACCCCCGCTGATGTGCCATGTTCTGAAAAAGCCAAGCTCGTATCGGGTTAACTTGTTTGCATAACATTACATTTCGTATTAGTGAAGGATGATTGTACCAGAAAATGCACACAAAGACTAACATTTTCTTACAAGGTTTATTTCAGAAATTGTTATTTTTGGTATGCAACTGAAGCTTAAAATGATTGTAACCTTTTCAAAACCAAAGAAATTTAAATCTTAGGATGTAATGATGAGATAATCTCGGTAAGCCTTTTGCGGGTTAAATATGAATAAAAACTGGAAAATCGAGTTGTTTTAATTCACATGAACATAATTTGAATTCTCCATACCAAAGAAACTGTTGCTATACCACGTGATTTGGGGCAAGCTGTGTGCTTAGTTACCAAAGAGACGCCTTGCACATATACACCGTTTTCAATGGACACAAAAAGAACCAGTCCATTCCAGAGATGGTGGGTGCTATTCAAAAGTTTGCCCTAAATTGAGAGGTATCCGGTTTGTAAGTGTGATGTCACTTCAATTTAAACTACGCCCACAGTACATGCACTGTACATAGAGTTACGCGCATTGACCGCCATTTACAGGGAGCCATGGAACCGCAAGTTAACGCGCAACTTCAGCGATCGTCCAAAGAGAGCCTGCAAATCGTGGTGGGTCCGCGTGTTTGACGAACCAGAGACCAACAGTTTCTGATTCAAACCGTTATGTTTATGTGCATTCAAATAATCATTGTACCAAATTTTATTCAAATTTAACTCGCAAAAGGCTGATTACGTAAGACACCTGCTTTTTGGTTCCTCCTAGTGGGATTTACCACGGCAATCAAAATGCTTCGTTTACGTCATTTAACTCCCTTCAGGTTTAACACATGGGGCTAAGTGGAGAAAAAGCCGTAAAACTTTAATATGATGACAAATCAATGAGTTGTGACCATGACTTTAGGAGGAAATGAATGTTTCGTTTTGATTGCCAAGGGGGATTGGGGGGACACACTGCAAAATTTTTGCCAGTTTTTTCATTGGATGTGGACCTTTTTCCCATGATGCACTGCAACAGAGAAACCTTTTGCCACCATGGGCAGCTCTTCTGTACTGTGAATTGCTCGTATACTAAACGTTTGTGTTAAAGTTCGCTTCTGAGAATTAATCAAATCATAAAACAATTCAAAGAGCCTTCCAATGCAGCAAAATGTGGTTTGCGATACTTTGAGAATAAGGATGGGTATGCATGCCAAGCTTTGCAGACGTGAATAATTACCCACGCTAGAAATTTGAATGCAACGGCTTTGGATTCTTCAAATCCGTTCAAGAAGTGATACATATCCGTTGTCTCCATTTGACACATTTTTAAGGAAACGGGCACCAAGGGATTACATCAGATGCCGTCGAGGATAAAAAGTTGCTTTTGGCTCAGACGTTTAGTTGGAATGACTGCCTCATATACACAATGCAAGCACCACAGTCCCCAATGGATGATCACTTTTATTACGCTTATCTCAGTTGCGCCCAAAGAGCCTCAATGATCACTTGCTGTAATATGCATCCTGTGTTGATAGCACGGATTGGTATTGGAGCATAATTTGAAACGAAGTTGTAGAACTTGAAGGCTGCAAGCTTGAAGAATTTCATTGATGTCGAGGCAATACATTGGAAATAATGTTATGCTGTATGTTGAATGGCCCAAAAGTAACGGGAAACTGGTTCTCTGTACAAACTATGATTTTTTTATTTGTTCTTTCACTTAATGGTCAGTATATTGTCAGTTTGCGACAGTCGTCCCTTCAGTACAAAAACTTACAGACCGCTGATATAGCCGAGGTTTTTAAACGGAAATTGCACCTTCCAGGATTTGCAATGACACCGGCTGGACCTCCATTTGTTTCATTATCGAAAGGTCAAGCAAGGAGGCCAGAGGCTTGTCCATGAGTGAAGTAAAGGAAGGTCGATTTGTTCCTGACAGCCATTTCCCTCATCATTTTAACGGATATACAATTGGTCAAACTAATCTCGAATATACGCAGTCGGCCATACCAACCTCGACAGTTTGCAAGGTTTTTGTTTTTTTGAAAAGTCATCAGAATCTCCTTTTTGTTTATTTGTTTTTAATTGCGAGGCTTCATAGAATGTACTAAAATGTTTATCACAAGTAATGCCATTTTAGGATTTCCTGTGCATGTGTGAAGCACACCTGTTTAATTGAATCGGACACTTGGCAGAACACGGTATTACAATTATAGAAACACTACCGTGTCAAATCTATATGTCATTTGTGGTCGCAGGGCAGTCCATTGATAACAACTCTTTCAAAAAATTAAAATGGTTCCCTTTAAACATACAACGCCCTCATGTATAAAACTTTTGCGCGGCAAAGGTTTCTCGCTGTGGAAACCAACACAAAATTTACTGGAAAATAAAACGTGTTTCCACTGAACTTCCACTTTACTGGTTATCGTAGAGATGAATTAGCTCAGTTGATGCAATAACGCTGTTTACAGTCTGTTGGTAGAAAGAAGGCAGGTCCCGTTAACCTAAATGAGTCGAGAGTTTAGCAATAACTCTTGCACTTCCTTCAGGAAGATCAGTGAAATCTGTGTTTCAATTCCGGTGTTTACAGGGAGGCGAGGT